ATTACCCATTCCTTTGTCCTTGCAAAATAAGGAAACTTTTTTTTCTCTTTTATTTTCTTATAATCCACCAATTAGTCCTACTGGATCTCTTTTTCATTCTTCCTCTAATACTTTCCTTTTCATTCTTTGATCTCTCCCCTAGCCCTTATTCTGTCCCAATCCCCCATATACTTGATCTGAAGTGTCTATCATTAATCCAAACAAGCCCCTCCCCAATCAGGGTTAAATACCCCTATTCAACCCCCCCTCACTGCCACTACTAAAAGCTACACCAAAGCAATAGAAAATATTGGTTCACATGAAGAAAAACAAACAAACAAGACAGAAAGTGAAGAATACTCAGGCCTAAAAGAAATAGCTGAAATTTAACAGGCTGTGGAATTATCAGAAAAAGAATTCGGAAGAATGATGATGCACAACAGATAAGAGTTTGAGAGAAAAAGGGAAAGAATATAAAAGTTAGATACTTCACTATAAGTCCTACAAGAAAAACTCCAAAGAGAAACACAGAAATAGGGTATTATGATTATAGAATTACACAACACTATGAAAGAACAGAGAAACAGAATTGGAGAGAATTAATGATCTTGAAGACAAATCTTTGGATTCAATCTAAGAGAAGAAAAGCGGTAAAAAATGCAAAGGAGACAGAAGAAAGCCTAAGAACAATGTGGGACACCATCAAGAGGAACAATCTACGAATTATCAGGATTCCAGAAGAGAAGAAACAACCAACCAAAAAATTTAGAGAGAATAGTCCAAGGACTCCTGGAAGAAAAACTTCCTTACTGCATAAAGAATGAAAAGATAACTATCCAGGAAGCTCAGGGAACCCCATTTAGGAAGAACTCCAAAAGGAAAACTCCCCAACATAGTGTAGAAAAACTCTCTAACACCAAATACAAGAAAAAAATTCTAGTAACCAGGAACAAAAGAACAGTCACATACAAAGGGGCAACAATTAGAATAAGCTCAGATTTTTCAGCAGAAACCATACATGCAAAAAGACAATGGAGCAACGAATATAAACTCTTGAAGGAAAAATAACTTGTACCCAGCAAAATTATCACTCAAATATGAGGGAGAAATGAAAGTATTCCCAAACAAGGAGAAATGAAAGGAAATTAAAAAAAAAAATAAGAGCATCACTACAAAAACATACTAACTACTGGAGTACTATGGGCAAAATATCAATAGCAGCTGTACACAAATCTAAGACCAACATATAAGACAATTCTTCACAAAAACAAGCACACTCAAAGCAATATCTAAAACAACACAAAAATAAAGCAAGACCAAAGAAACTAATCACACCATATATTCACACACTCATACATACCAAAATGACAATAACAACCCTATAAATACCAATAATCCCACTGAGCATTACGGGACTAAATTCACCAGGGAAGAGATACAGAGTAGTAGAATATATAAGAACATAAGACCCATCAATATGCTGCTTACAAGAAATATAACCCAGAACAAGGAAAACACAAGACAAAACATCAAAATCTGGATAAAAGCATACCAAGCAAATGGCAGCAAACAACAAAAAGACAGGTGTGGAAATATTAATCTCTGAAAAATTAGACTTCAAGGCAAACAAAATAATGAGAGACAAGAATGGAGACTACATAGCAATTAAAGGAACAGTAGCCCCCAAAGACATGAACATAAGACTCTCAAAATACATTCAGCAAATTCTCACACAAAGTGAAGAGAGACACAGACAGCTGGACAATAATAATACAAGGGGATACCCACCCAAAATGGATTTTGTTTTCCACAGCTATGTACTTAAATTTTTTAAGAAAACAATCTTCAAAGTACTCTCCATTACACTTAATACATTTGTCAAATCTGCAATTCCATTCTTGGAAACATTTTTCAAACTCAACTGTTTGGATGGCTGACAGCACCTCCCTTGTTTATTCCCCCTCACCTCTTCTATGTCATCAATAGCTGTCCTTTCA